CGTGTCTACATTAAACTTAGCATTAAACCTGTACCACAAGAGGTGCACTTATAGAGCGAGGTTGAGCAACATCAATTAGTAAACTGAACCCTACCTAAAACAACAGCAAAAAAACTTGGCAGTTGCTGCTCGCCACGCCTCTGTCGAAACCTCCACAATATCCGTCGTTATCCCGTTCGTAATCCCAGAGCGAATTTTTTTGAAGGAAAAGGTCGGGTAAATACATTCTAGCTGGATGGCGGCGTTCGGGCTCTCGGCGACAGATCTACATGTTCAAACAGAAAAGTCGACGGAAAGGTCCCCGCCATGGAAAAGGAAACCGGTCTTCTGGAAGTGTTGGATAAAGCTGCTCTCTGTAGGTGTGTATGGCGGATTTTTATTCGGGAAGTTGACGTCACACGCCCGCGGTGACATTCTGGGAATTTCGTATAGCGTATGGCGCATTTCCTTGACAGATTTCCCTCGAGAGATTACGGTATACTCATATCGAGAAAAATAAAGTTTCGGTGGGACCTTGAGAGTTATCTTTGCTACTTATTTGCAGAATCTTCTTCTACTAGTTAGTGCTTCTCCTCAATGGATATTGGCGACCACAATGGACCAGCCTAATATAATATTTTTCGTTGTAATATGAGCAGGAGAAATCTGTATTTCATATGAGTCCGAAATAAATCAATTTCCTTTCTTTAGTTTTTCAACAGAGCCAAATCAATACAATCAATACAATATAATAATAAACTTTACATCAAAAAAAGGGGGGATTTTTAACCCCCTCACGGAAATTCAAGTTTCTTGATCTTTGAAGATGTACAAAGAATACCTGAATATTTTATCCATTAATGGTTTTTTATCTTACATAAATAAAACAACACGACCTGATACTGAAACCTGTACTGCTTCATAAAAAACTTTTCATGTATTTTTTTCTATAATGCGTTAGTTTATGAAAGTGATATTACCGATCACTACTACATTATGTTACGAGTATGTTCACAGAACAAGGATCGGACAAGATTTCATTGATAACACAAAATTAGTAACCAATGCTGAAAAGAAATCGCGGAATGAGATTTATTTAACAAATACCATAGATGAAACCACAAACATGCTAATAAGCAGATTTCAAAAAATTATAGTAAATAGTACAAATTAATAAAGTAAAACAAATGAAAAAGAAAGACTTTATAAATTAATGAAGGAACTACCAACGAAAAAAAAACATAGAAAATTAAAATCAATACAAAAATACTATTTTCAGAAACTAAATGATAAATGACATGACACAGGAAGACTTAATGATATTTTCAATGGAAAGCAACGACTTGGAAATGAAATTAAAAACGGAAACGGGTAAAGCAACAAATGAAAATCAACAAACATGCGATGAATTTGTCATTTTTTTTACATATGCCGGAGAAAAATTAGCAAATAATATAAAATGCGATTCTAATAAATTTAAGTTACATGGAAAAAGAATAGTAACCTCATTTGTTCTGACCGAAGTCGATGCTCAATATGTTTTTAACACTATTATATCCCTGTAAAATAATATAAAATAATATAATAAATAAAATAAAAATATCAGACCCATTTGCACCTGTTATAAATAAATGTCTACGGTTTGGAATATTTCCCCCAGCTTTTCATTCATATCTACAAAACAGGCGATAATATGGACGTTACGAATTATCGACCAATATCGCACGTATCGACTTTGGCTAAGGCATTCAAAAAGTTACTCTCTAGCAAGATGATAAATTTCCTTGATAAATTCCAAGTGCAAATTAATACGGTTTGGTTGGTCAAATTTTGACCCCTAAAGAACAACAAATAAGTTGATTCGAATATTTCAGGGGAAATCCGCGTAAAAACATCAACCTGTTTAACTTTGAAAATACACGATCTTTGGCATTGAAAATTGTATGTATATTGAATTATTTAAACAATATTCATGCTTGGTCCTTATTCAGCCACATCACTAGTTCACTACGCCATGTATCCTCTAATTGGACATTTTTTATGTTCATAGGAACTTTTTTATCGTTTATGGATAAAGTTTCTCTGAATCAGTGCGCAGCACTCGGTGTAAACGGGCATCAAGCGGCAAAAATGCACACATTAGATTTGTTCCAACCTCATCCTGCAATTACTCGTAATTTCCTGTGCAGTATTTACTAGACAATTTTGGCTTTACCCCCCTACTCTGAGTTTAACCGCCTATCTCTAGTCTTCCTGCTTGTAGTATACACTTTTCTATTCACCGACCTAAGACTAGAGAATCAGTCTATAAAGACATCTTTTATGGATGACCAAGTTACATTTTCATTCAGAGATTCAATAGTTTGCCATATCCTGCAAAGATCGTGAAGGGTCCTTTTAGCGTGCATATAAAATATAACGCCGACCACTCCTTCTCAATGCGGATTTTACAACTCCCATTCCCTATAAAACACAGAGTCCCCGATATTCTCTATTCGCACGAAAGCGTCCGGAAAGTTTCCCGTAAAAGTAATTTAAAATATTAGGCGACTTCCTCCTGGCTTTAGCCCACCCCAGGGAGTAGCGCGAGAAAAACTTTGATTTTTCTGGAAAAACATATCAGCTCGCAAGTTTCTTGCCGCGCTGCCGCGACGAGCGTTGCCGCGCTGGGGCAAACGTACGTTTTACTTTTATGGTAGGAGAGCTGTAAAAGGAGCGACTCGAGACGACCTGGGAGGAATTTAGGCAACGTTACAGCTTTGGGTTAATAGCAGTATGCGTTGCCTTACATTTGGAAAAGTGCTTTCTCGGATGACCCGATAAAAACGGGTCCTGATGCGACGAATATTTTGTGACTATTTGACATTCGACTATTCAGTAGAATTTAGACAGAATTGTAAGAAATATTTTTTGCAACTACACGACACGGTAGCAAAGCCGTAACGCAAAAAATGATGTCAAGATTCTTGACTTCCCACGCAATGCTATAATCAGTTCATAAACGATTGATGTTCGGCATAAGCTAGCCCTTCTGAGAAAAGTCCCATCTAACAAGGTTGCGAATTTCTCTCCTGTCTTACCGACAGTACCGACCATCTGGCGATGTTGCTATGACTAAGCTCGCAACTCGCCAACCACGCCACCATAGCAAATTGAAATAAATACTCCTCAACCCCCTACAAGCCCCAACCCTCAATTTATTTCGCTTTCTGAAAATGACAAGGAGCCTCTTAAACGTCAAAAGACCAAGTTGAGCAACTTTTATTATCTCGCTTTACCCGAGCTCAGAGCTTTTTTCGTTCTCGGCATAGTACTAACATTGTGTGAAAGTTCCAGCAAAATCCGAACAATATTACGGAAGCGATTGAAAATATTCCTTCTGAAACCTACCAAAAAGTGAATAAAAGATTAAGATGAAAAAATGGACGTATTTTATTTCCTTTCACAAATATTCTAGACACAAACCAGTCAGTTACGTATCGGACACCCTGTAGAAACAGCTGTAACAAATTCTCATAGATAGGTAATCAATGATATTGAAAAGCAATTCTAGATTATTCTTGTAAGGCTAGTGACATTGAATCCAAAATATACCTACTTTAGTAAAATGCCGCCGGCTAATGAGAAATAAGGTTAGGAAGTGTATGTCTCGATCATTACTTCGGTGTACTCAAGATGTTTTTGTGCATTCGACATGATCGCTGAGAACTGGGATGAGGAATATGATTTCATTCTACTTTTCGACATGAGAAGAGAATCATATATTTCAGCTGAATGTGGGTACATAATTTGAAATCTGGTGCATCAATATGTTATGAGTAAGACTTGCAGCACAAATTTAAGAAATTGGGCCAGAAAGGGTCTAAAAAATATCACTACACAATGGAACGATAAAGCAAAAAAACATGAGCTACCTTAATCCCCCTACATTGTCAACCGTACTATAATTACATATACTTCCAGTTGCACCTCGGACTATCCATCTCATTCTTATTTTTCTTTGCAAAGCCAAAATAGCGTAATTTTCCGGTCGGTTTTATCTGGAAACCGCATGTCCGCGAGATTACTTCATAAACATAGCGCGACTCCTCCCGCATTTGTCACCAGGAAAATAGAAAAATGTATTATATGTGTCCGTAGCAGCCATATTTTGCTGCCGTCGCCTGTCGCGCGCCGGACGACATGTGAAATTTTTATTTTGATTAAATCGTGTGAATATTTTAGATGTTGAAATAGCGAGTGTACTTTTCCACTGAAAAAACTCGGTCAGAAGTAACATCAAAATATGCAGTGCTACAGTGAACACTCTTAAAGCTGCGTTCTCCTTGCTTTTGTGGAATTGCCTCCGTGTCGTGAGTTTGTCTTTGATGTCATCGAGAGGGAGGTCTAGGACCGCTCACGCTAGGCATCAAACACGTTTGATTTCGAGGCGTGGACATGCTGGTCGAAAATGAAGCAGACCGTAACCTGCCTTTGGAATGTGTGGCGGAACGGAGGAAATCAGCCCGAACTTTAGATATCTGTTTATATTATAAATCTAAATTTTTATGAATGATTGAAGAAGAAGAATAGATTACAGCAGAAATTTGCCGCAATTACCTGTAATTGAATACATGTGTTACTTTTTGTGTGGGTTAGGTCGATAATTTTGTTATTGCGCCTAGTACCTAAAAGAGTTAGTGACAAAAATTGTAGCAAACGGTATGCTGCTTATATGGAAAATACCTTTATCTCTACACGGTGACAGCTATGCGGTGACCAAAAATGCATTTTTTTTAAATGGAAGGCATTTATTACATTTTATTGCAGATTTGGATACGCCCTTTCAAAATAAGTGTTTTGATATAACAACTATAGCGTTCTGTTTCCAAATTGTTGAGATATTTGACAATCTATGGGATGAAACACTGAAGTTGGACAACTCGCACCTCCGCAACTATTATACGAGGGATGTCATTTAAGTTTTGCATATAGTGTTCTCACTACAGTGAATTTTTAAGTGTCACCACGTCATTAGAAGAATGGAACTCAACCGAGAACATTTTCGCGCCATAATTTATTACAACTTTCAGAGACAATTATCGCAACAAGAATGCCTTGATGAGTTACTGTCTGTATTCGGCAAGGAAGCGCCACATCAGTCGACAATTTCCCGTTGGTATGAAGAATTCAAACGTGGACGGGTGAGTCTTAGCGACGATCCCAGGGTGGGTGCACCAAAACCGGCAGTCACCCAGGAAAACGTCGATGCTGTGCGCAAACTCATCATTGAAGAGAGACATGTGACATATCGCGAGAGTGAGGCGTCCTTGAAGATCTCAAAGACCTCAATTCAAAAAATTGTACATGAACAATTAGGAATAAGAAAATTATTTTCTCGTTGGATACCCCACCTGTTGACTGAAGAGCAGATAGCAGCCAGAGTTAATTGGTGTCAAAAAACGCTTGACCGTTTCAATTTCTGAAACTCAAAAAATGTGTGCAGTATTGTTAGTGGTGATGGATCGTGGATTTACTGTTATGAACCAAAAAATAAACGACAGCCGGCTGTTTGGGTGTTCCAAGGTGAAGAAAAGCCAACAAAAGTCATCCGTTTCGAAAAAGATGGTCGCGACATTTGTGTCAAAAGCGGGTCATATTGCCACAATTCCTCTTAATGAGCAAAGATCTGTTATTGTGGATTGGTATACCACCATTTGTTTGCCAAAAGTCATCACCGAGCTTCGAAAAATCAACCCCGAAAGAAGAATCATCCTCCACCAAGACAATGCAAGCTCGCACACAGCCCGAAAAAACAAGGAAGTATTTAACGGAAGAAAACGTGTAATTATTATACCATCCTCCACATAGTCCCGATCTAAGTTATAACGATTTGTTTACTTTCCCGAAAATTAAAAACAGACTGCGTGGTCAAAGGTTCCAGTCACCAGAAGAAGCAGTTGACGCATTCAAAAATGCCGGTTTGGATCTGCCAGCAAACGAGTGAAATAAGTGCTTCGAAAATTGGTTCAAGTGCATGCAGATGTGTATTAATCTTCGTGGAGAATACTTCGAAAAACAATAAAGACATTTAAAACTACCTACCGTGTTGTTTTATTTTCATATGCAAAACTTAAAAGACATCCCTCGTAGCTAGAGTGCTGAATTTTATTATCTTATATTTTGTCCTTATATACTTAGTTTTTCAGTTTTTTGGACAGTTTATACAGGGTAGTCAAGAATCCAAAATTAACTATCCCTCAAAAATTTCAAGTGGAACATCCTCTATATATTCACACGTTTTTATTTCCCTTTTTTCTGATATAATTTATGTGGGGGTTTGGCTTCTGAGTTGCTAAAACTTAGGGATGCATTTTGACTTCTCGACTTTAATGCAAAAGGCTAGGTAGATTTAATTTATAATAAAATTACGGCAGTTCTAACGATCGGCCGTTACCAACTAAAGAAAAAAGAAACTTTTAAATGAGAAGTATGATACGGGATATAGGAGGTTGTTACCTTCCAATGGGAGGTAAGCTAGTACTGTATCTCCAAGAGAAAAGAAATTCAGTCTTTATGAATATTATTAGTAATAATAATTGCAGTTTATTATTAAAGAAAAAACGCAGTTAAATATCATAAAGACATAGTTAAAGAAAACTAAAGTGGTACTACATTTATCTCTTAGAACACAAAAAGTCTTTTTGTAAAAAAAACAAACAACAAAACAAAAACTTACTGCCTGTTGCATCAATACTATTCGATGTTATTTTACACGGAAACCTAGATTATTTTGAGGATTTTTATTGCACAAGTACTTAAACCCCGTTAAAATTTGGTAAACTGTGTTTAACTTGACCGATCAATTTTTGGAGTTTACCGATCGTCTATTTTATTTTTAGTCTTCACAAATGGATTTTATTCGACCTGATGACATTTTAAACTATGATCCTTGAACTAATAAATAGTGGTGTTCAAGAAGAATTATTCAAGGATTAAAAACAAAAAATTGTAATGGTTAATTATTTATACATCTTTTGATAATGTGAGAACGAATCTACAAATCGCGGACCAAGATCCTCAATACCACCCAATGTGGTTAAGACTTGTCACATCTTCCCTTGGACGATGTTCATGTCAGCTCCTCTAATTTTTCTAAAAATGTACTTAAACCCCGTTAAAATTTGGTAAGCTGTGTATAACTTAAACGATCAATTTTTGGAGTTTAAAGATCGTCTAATTCATTGTTAGTCTTCACAGATGGATATTATTCGACCTGATGATATTGTAAACTATGATCCTTGAACTAATAAATAGTGGTTTTCAAAAAGAATTATTCAAAGACCAAAAACAAAAAATTCTAATGGATAATTATACATCTTTTGATAATGTGAGAACGAATCTACAAATCGCGAACGAAGATCCTCAATAGCACCCAATTTGGTTAACACTTGTCACGTCTTCCCTTGGACGATGTTCATGTCAGCTCCTCGAATTTTTCTAAAAATGTGCGCCCACAATTAATGTTCATTTTGGGTTTTCCATTCGTTGTCATGGACTTTTCGGTACAGTAATGACCGAAGTTCTTTGGTTGTGGTACATTTGGGGGGTTTATCTTTTATCTGTACAAAATAAACATTATTCTGTTTCAACTATTGTCAAGTTTTAGTCCACCCACCTTATTAACAGTTGAACTGATGACAGTTTGCATTTGGTGTGGATCATGTATGTATAGATATTATAAGCTTCTCGACTCATGATGTTAATCACTGTTGACGATCTTAATACATAAGTAGCTATTTTTGATAGCGGCTGGTAAACAAACAATTCTTAAGCCAAGTTTTGTTCCAGCAGAAGTCGTTGACCTCCGGTTTGGAGGACGGTAACTGACGAAAATGCAACGACTCTGCACCGAAAGGTGTCTGCAATAGCATTCTGAATGCGGACTATTATTCCTTTCCGCTTATTTATGCGCCGCTGCGACGAAATACCGAGAGCTTCACGAAACACACACAGACACAGAACTTTGCGAGATGCGCGGGAAGCCATATTAGTGAAAGAAATAAAAGGAAAATGTGAAAAACGTGGCGTTCAGCAATGTAACAGCAAGGTTTATAGACTGCGAGAGGTAACGCCACTCACGAAAAAAGCCTTCATCGATTTTTTTCTTACTATTTAGTGAAAGTTTGGAGTTATGTATATTTATGTGAAAAATAATATCAAATGCTCACAGAGCTGCTTTCCAGTGGCTTTTAGTTTGAGAGTGATACGCTCGCGAACTGCTCTAGAAACAGTGCATGAGAATACAGCGTGCAGTGGAAACGGTATTGAAGCTGAGCACTTCGAGTTAATCAGCGTAACTCAACAGGGTCACTGGAAAGCAGCTCTGGAAGTGACACGAACCAGAACTCTTTTGATTTTAATTCATAAGCCAATGGCTTGGAAATATTGTAAATGCGAAAATTTTACGAAAATGAGATATTATGTTTTTTGGGTGTTATATGAAATGTACGAAAAATCATGTCACTCCTTTCAGTCGGAATGTCTGTCTGTCCGTTAATCCTTGTCCCGTCTATAACTTAAGAAATACCACTCGGATTTTCACCAGGTTACTACTATGCCAAGGACGAACAATGTTCGTAGTTTTTGGAAGTCGGTCCAGTGGCAGCAAAGCTAAGGAAAAACAATAAAATAGAAGAGGCTTAAACTTTTTTTTTACGCTCCAGCCCAGGTAATTCTACTCACCTGAACATTAGACGTATTAAACCAACTTGGGTCATAGAAGAACTAGAAAGAGAATTGTTCTTTAATTTTATATAGGCTGATTCCGTTACCTTCCTTTTGTAATTGTGACCTAATATGATTGACTATCCTCTGAGAAAATATCTAATTGATATTCCCGAACCTGGCTATGGGTTTTTTATCCATGTTTGTTCTCAAGATTTTTGTTAAGTCTCAAACGTGCAGATGTTCTGCTTTGCCATCTTGAATCCAATGCTGTGTCTTATATTATTTTCTCACAGGACAAACAAAATGGTTCCCTTTGGATGCATTTCAGATGCAAAACAAGGCACTTGCAACCTTCAGTCGAAGATTGAGTATCAATTAATCGGTGTGTTGCGACAAGGAGGGCTTTTGGTGTTTTCGCGACGATGGACGAGGGTGACTATCTGATACATTAAGAAATCACCGATAACCTCATACTCGCTTGTCGCTCTAAGGGCGGAACGTCCTTTTTGGGAACGAGAATGCCTCAGGCGGATCTGGGCAATGCTGGTTTTGCTTGGTGCTATCTTAAAATTCGGAATGATGAATTCATGCAAACTCAGCATGTTACGGAACTTTCAGATTACTGTAGTAACACACTGTATATCAATGTGGTAATGAAAATAAAAAACAAACAGTAACCAGGAATGCAACAAATATATGTCATTGTACTGAAGATGATCACATTTGTGACTGAAGCGCCTAGGGAAGTTAAGAGGGAAGGTGCAATTCTGCTGTGAAATGAATAACCATTAAATACCAGCACAGATTTGAAATTGCAATAAAAGCATTGCTACACACCCAGTTCTACATGGCGTGTTCAGACGGACCCTTGGATCTTTTCAGTGTTATCTAATCTGTATCGTCATCGCAGACAGGTTGTTTATGCTTGCTGACAGAGATTTCTTTTGCTTTGCTTTCATGCGTGCGTTGACGCTTTTTGGTAATGAAGGACGAGATTTAGGCATTTCTTATTTACTAATAACAAATGTATAACAAATGGATTAACAAAAACAACAACAACAAATCAAAAATCGAGAAACGCTTGAGACAAATCATCCACTTCGAACGATAAAACATATACGGACTCCCGACAGTAGTGAAGAGACTCGGGCTGAAACGAGGAACCGAGGTAAAGGTACGCATTACCACCTTAGCGGTTACTCATCCTCCCGGTAGAACTGGTCAGCGGAAGGCGGATTTTCTCAACATTTATATCAAACTTCAACGATAACTCCAAAACCGTGCAAGCAAGACATTTGATTTTTTGCAGTGGATTGTATTGGTCTTGACATGACTAGAGTGATTTTTTTTGATGAAAACTCAATTCGCTTTTTCAAGAAAAAAACAAGAAAAAAATAATCATCCAAGCTAATCTACTATAAATGTGAAATATTGTCATACAATTTCAGAGCTGTACTATTATTTGTTGTCAAGCTACTATTACAGAAAAAAATGTATCTTTTAGATAACAAATTTCTATCTTTGCTAATCATTAATTTCTATACGCATCATTAAGGAATCAGACGAAACGGATTAAAAAAAACTCCTTCAAACAGGCTGTTGGCAAAAAGCGATGTGCAACCATCAGTCATCTGTTCACTTATTTGGTATCATATTGTGATGTAACCACCAAAACCCGTGAAAGGAGCTATACTTATATATGTAGACGTGATCCTGTTATTTATATTTTGTATACTTTGACAGCAGCAGCCTCCGTATGCCGTATGATGTTTTCAGGCGGACGATGTACGTTAAAAATTGTTTCCGCTTTTAATATCAGCGAATAAAATACTTTCATCCACTGCTTAATGGTCTGAGGAATGATACCTGAACAGGGGGAGGAAGATATATATGATAGTGTATGAGGGTGGGGTGATTTGGTATATTTGATGGCAAGGGAAAGCTACACTCACAAAAAGTATCACTATTCGGAACGCTGGACATTGTACTTGGTAAAAATTGCAAAAAATGGAGTCACGTAGATTCGCGTTTCTGCTTTACCTATGGGCCGTATAATCGTTCTATTTTGAGGTTATGTTACAAATAACTATTTGCATCAAACTGTTCATGCTTTTGATTTATATCATCTGTCATATCAGCCTGAAATTTCCTACAATTCAAAAAGAAAACATGGCCTCACAAAAGGAGAGCGCTGCCGCTGACACGGAGCAGTAGAAATCTTGAAATTTTCCAGCCTTTCTGGAGGAGAGAAAATACTATGAAAGTCAAGGAGGCCAT